TGTGTGTGTGTGTGTGTGTGTGTGTGTGTGTGTGTGTGTATGTTCCCATGCGGGCTCCAGGATTCTCTGGGGTCTTTTATTCTTCCTTGCCTGGCAGGCCCAGGACTGTGCAATAGGGTGCCTCCACCCATGGATGCCCCCTGCTCCCTGGGGGCTCACCCAGCTGGGTGCTGGGTTCTTCCACCTGGTTGTGTCCACCGTGGTCTGCTCGGCAGTGGGTTTGCCTTCGGTGTCCTGGTCCCTTTCCCCAGGCTCCCTAGGGTTGCCCTGCGACTGCTGCCCTGGGGCTGGCCCTGCTGGTCCAGTGCTCCTGCCTCCGAGCTCTGCTCTGGGTCTTTCCTGGACCTTTCTCCTCTGCCTCTCTCCTGCCCTGCTGTGTTTAATTGTTTGTTGGTCTCAACTTATTTCCAGGTGCATTGTTCAGATGTGTTTCTCCTGCATATTTAACCCCTTTTAAGTTTATTAAACTTGTGAACGACCCAGCACACAGTCTGTTAGTTGAGTATTCCACTCGAAAATAATACTTATTCTGTTGCATTTTTTCTTTTTTTTTTAAAGTTTTTATAATAGTTGTAGATGGACAAGATGCCTTTATTTTATTTGTTTATTTTTGTGTGGTGATGAGGATCAAACCCAGTGTCTCATGCATGCTAGGCAAACATTCTGCTGCTGAGCTATGACCCTAGACCTTCTTTTTTTTTTTAATGGTAAAATAATACAATAAAGAAAGCTCAAAAATTTTTGATAACTTTGTCCAAAATATTTGTTACATAGTGATGGATGAAGATCTAATATTTCTAATATAAAAATCATTTTTAAAAATGAACAGGAAAAGCCAAGTTGGTGGCACACACCTGTTATCCCTTCCATTCTTGTGGTTGAACGAGATGTGGAGTCACACTGGTCATTTATCCATATGTGACGTAGGAAAGTTACGTCCAGTTCATTCCTCTGTCTTTCCTATTCCCATCCCTCCTTCCTTCCCTTCATTCCCCTTTGTCTAATCCAATGAACTTCTATTCTTCCCCGCCCCACCCCTTATTACGTGTTGGCAGCTGCGCGTCAGAGAGAACAATCGGCCTTTGGTTTTTGAGGACTGGCTTATTTCACTTAGCATGATTGTCTCCAGTTCCATCATTTACTGGCAAATGCCATGATTTCATTCTCTTTTGTGGTTGAGTAATATTCCATTGTGTATATGTGCCACATGTTCTTTATCCATTCATCTGTTGAAGGGCACCTGGGTTGGTTCCATAGCTTAGCTATTGTGAATTGAGCTGCTGTGAACATTGATGTGGTTGTGTCACTGCAGTGTGCTGATTTTAAGTCCTTTGGGTATGTACCGAGGAGTGGGATAACTGGGTCAAATGGTGGTTCCATTCCAAGTTTTCTGAGGACTCTCCATACTGCTTTCCAGAGTGGTTGCACCAATTTGCAGTGCCAACAGCAATGTATGAGTGAACCATGTTCCCCACATCCTCACCACATTGATTGTTACTTGTATTCTTGATTGTTGCCATCCTGACTGGGGTGAGATGGAATCTCAGTGTGGTTTTAATTTGCATTTCTCCAGTTGTTAGAGATGTTGGACATTTTTTCATGTTTGTTGACCATCCGTATTTCTTCTGTGAAGTGTCTGTTCAGTGCCTTTGCCCCTTTATCGATTGGGTTATTTGTTTTTTTTGAAGTTGAGTTTTTTGAGGGTTTTTATATATATATCCTGAAGACTAATGCTCTTTCTGGGGTGCAGGTGGCAAGGATTTTCTCCCATTCCGCGGGCTCTTTCTTCACTGTCTTGGTTGTCTCCTTTGCTGTGAAGGAGCTTTTTAGTTTGATACTATCCCATTTATTGATTCTTGGTTTTACTTCTCTGAGCTTTAGGAGTCTTGTTGACAGATTCGGTTCCTAAGCCGACATTTTGGGAAGTTGGGCTTACATTTTCTTCTAGTAGGCACAGGGTCTCCAGTCTAATGCCTGAGTCCTCGATCCACTTTGAGTTGAGTGTTGTGCGTGGTGAGAGCGAGGGGCTTAATTTCACTTTATTACATGTGGGTTTCCAGTTTTCCCAGCACCGTTTGTTGAAGAGGCTGTCTCCTCTCCAGTGACTATTTATGGCCCCTTGATCATTTGAGGAGGATCGGTGTCAGTTTTCTGTGAAGGTCTGGTAGAGCTCAGCTGAGAATCTCTGTCTGGTCCTGGGCTTCTCTTCCTTGGCTTTTGATAGCATCTTTAATTTCATTGCTTGAAATTGATCTGTTTAAACTTTCTATGTCCTCCTGATTCAATTTGGTTAGGTCATATGTCTCTAGAAATTTGTAGATGTTTTCAAGGTTATCTATTGTATCAGAGTAGGAATTTTCAAAGTAGGTTTGGTTATCATCTGTATTTTAGTAGTTTGTGTTGTGATATTTCCTTTTTCATTGTGAATTTTAGTAATTTGAGTTTTCTTTGTTAGCTCGGCTAAGGGTTTATTAATTTTATTTTATTGATTTGTTTTTCAAAGAACCAACATTTTGTTTTGTCGATTTTTGGGGATTATTTCTTTTGTTTCAATTTTATTGATTTCAGCTCTGGTTTTATTTCCTGTCTTCTGGTTTTGGTGTTGATTCATTCTTCTTGTTCTAGGACTTTGAGATGTAATGATAGGTTATTTATTTGTTGACTTTCTATACTTTTAATAATAAGTGAGCTCAGTGCACTGCCTTCATAGTGTCCCAGAGTTCTTGATATGTTGTTTCAGTATTCTCATTTACTTCTCAGTATTTTTTTTTTATCCCAGATTTCTTCTGCTATCCATTGTTCATTCAATAGCATATTATTTAGTCTCTGGGTATTAAAGTAGCTTCTATTTTTTTGAACTTTTTTATTATAGATAGACACAATATCTTTATTTTATTTGTTTTTATTATATGGTGCCAGGGATCGAACCCAGTGCTTCATGCATGCTAGGCAAACTCTCCATCACTGAGCCACAACCCCGGCCCCTCTATTTTTAATTTCATTCTTGATTTCTAAATTCATTCTGTTGTGATCTGATAGGATGCAAAGTATATCTATTTTTTTTATATTTGCTAAGAGTTGCTTTGTGGCCTGAGATGTGGTCTATTTTAGAGAAGGATCCGTAGCTACTGAGAAGAAAATACATACCGTCATCCTGCCACATCTTACCTGTCATTTTTCTCTGGCGTTCTTTAAAATTCTATCCTGATTCTCTGTGTTGAGCATTTTCATAATAATGTGCCTTGGTGTGGATCTGTTGCAGTTTTGTATATTTTTGGTCCTGTAAGCTTCCTGCATTTGATTTTCCATTTTATTCTTTAGGTTTGGGAAATTTTCTGATATTATTTCATTGAAAAGATTGTGCATTCCTTTTGTTTGTATCTCTGAATCTTCATCTCTCCCAATAAATCTTAAATATAGTCTTTTCAGGTTATCCCACATTTCTTACAAGTTCTGTTTGTGGTCTCTTAACATCTTTTCTCCATGTTTAACTTTGTTTTCAAGATTATTTATTTTGCCTTCATTGCCTGAAACTCTAAGTGGTCTAGTCTGTTGGTGATGCTTTCAATTGAAATTTTAATTTGATTTATTGATTTCCTTCATTTGAAAGATTTGTAGGCTTTTCTTTTTCCAGAATCTCTCTTTATTGAAGTGATATTTCACTTCCTGTATTTTCTTTCTGATTTCACTCCTTAGACTGGCTTTTACTTCACACATTGTTTTAACTATGTACATTATAAACTCTTTCTTGGATATTTCTTCCACTCTGGTGTTGTTGGATTCTGTTATTGGAGTACCTTGGTCTGTTTGCGATGATTGACCCCTTGCCTTTTCATGTTGTTTGTGTGTCTACCCATCTAATTGTAGAGACATGAGGAGTAGAGTTTTTCTTTTTTTAATTTATTTTTTAGTTGTAGATGGACTCAATATCTTTATTTTTATTTGGGCTCAGAATTGAACCCAGTGCCTTGCATGTGTCATGTGTGAGGCAAGTGCTCTACCACTGAGCTCTAGCCCCAGCCCCCCTGTTGTTTTTTAATGTATTTTTTAGTTGTAGATGGACACAGTATCTTTATTTTTTTATGTTTTTTTTTTTTTTAACTTATTGGCAGTAGAGTTTTTATCCTGTAGACTTACAGTGTCCCTGAAGGTTTCCAATACCTTACTTGCTGAGAAGCTACCTGTCTGCTTTCTCGGTTTCACTTCACGTAGCAGCCAGGAAAGTGACCTCTATTCTGCCATCTTGAAAACCAGAACAGTGTTTCTTAAGAAGGATTGAGAACACCACGGAGCTTTTTAGCCTGCATGGGTTATATGTCTTGATATTTATCTTAATAGAAATTAAAATTAGAGTTATTATTTCACTTAAAACAGCAATAAACTCGTTACATGTTGAGATGAATCACCATACTTCTGCAAAAGTAATTTCCAAAACAGCCACCTTGAGGGAGAAGAAGGGCTCATTCCGTGCTTTGACGGTCTCTTTCATGGCTGGCAATGACTTCAGGTGCATGCGACAGGAGAGAAAGAAAAGCAAATGGCACCTTTATATCACCATGGCGTGTTCTTAGCCTCAGTGTCCTGAAAGGCCCTCAGGCACCCCAGGTCCCTGGACCAGCTGAAAACTGCTACAAGGATTAGCATTTAGTACATATAATTCAGTCAGTGCTTATGGAGTGAATTGGCCAATTCCAGAAYGTAGTCTGCTGGGCCTGCAGACTGGAGATCATCTGTTGGCTGTGTGAGTTCTGGTGCCTCCAAGAGGCTTGTCCTTGGGCCTGCAGCTAGGCGTGTGTGTGTGTGACAGGTCTTGCCTCAGGCCCTCTCTGCTTTTCCTGTGACAGGTGTCCCTGTGCACAGCAGAGTGTCCTCCAAGATCCAGCAGCTTCTGAACACCCTGAAGAGGCCCAAGCGCCCTCCCCTGAAGGAGTTCTTCGTGGACGATTTTGAGGAGCTTTTGGAAGGTAGAGTCCTCTGATCTGAGCCCTGTGTGTGTGTGCCATCTGGAGGCACAGGTGGTGGTGCACAGACGTGAGTTCCTGTGCCACGCCCTTTCTCTTTGTGCCCAGACTCTGGTGAACATGGTCAGGGTTAGAGAGACTTTGCAATCCCCACGCCCAGTCCAGGGTTAGGACAACACTGCTAAGGTTTCTTCTTTACACTTTTAGTTAAACTCTAAATGTGAAATACTGTCTTCTTATGGTTCTAAAGTACTGAGTTTTTAGCACATGTTTAACTCCTTTTCAGAATTTTAACCTCTCATTTATGAATGGAATATATATTTAAAAACAAAGAACATACGCACATGCCCATAATCCCAGTGACTCTGGAGGCTATGGCAGGAGGATTGCAAGTTTGAGGCCACCCTCAGTAACTTGGAATACCCTGTCTCAAAATAAAAAATAAAGAGGGCTGGGGATGTAACTCAGTGGTAGAGTGCCTCTGAGTTTAATCCCCAGTACTGCAAAAGAAGAATATAGATTCATTTTAAAAAAAGAAGAACTAAGAAGAAGCAGAAAGAGGCCCACGCCCTTAGAAGGGCACAGAGATGAAACCCAGTGTTGGTGTTGAGTGTGTTCTGACCCCTGGGCCTGCCTGCCCTCAGTGGCAGGCCAGTGTGGGGCCTGGCTTATCACTTCATGCTTAGACAGGTCCAGAGCTCCACCGTGTGCTTACAGCACTGAGCTTCTCAGGCCTTGGAGAGCAGTCCTTGTTAACAGTGGGGTCTTTGGGGCCACAGGAAAATCAGTAGTGGGAATTGGTGGTGGAAATCAGTGAGGTGACCGTCCCGGCAGCTCCTGGCCTGAAGTCCTGTTCACTTGGGTCCTGGGTGGGCCGGTTGCTCAGACCTCCTCCCAGGCTCTGGGACCTGCAGTGCTGCACTGGGGTGGCAGGCATCAGGTGCCACAGTTATCCCAAAGGTGCAAGTAGATGTACCCTCCTGAGCCACCTTCACTGTCTGTGGCTGAACTTTCCTGGAGGGTGAAAGCCACACCATCTAGGACTGACTCTCCTTTATGTGACTGTGGTAATGACGAAGGTCTAAACCACTTGTGTCAGGCTTTTTACAGTGGTGACTTGGTCACGGGGTGCAGACACTGGACGGTGAGTGTGGGGCCTCCACAGTGCTGACGTCTGAACTCCGGCTCTGGTTACAGTTCAGCAGCCAGATCCCAATCAGCCGAAGCCCGAGGGAGAGGAGGTGGAGGTGCTGAGAGGGGAGCCCCTGGCCACAGGGGTGCCCTGGCCACCGTCTCTGCTAGCTGCCCTTCAGCGATGGGGCACAGTGCAGCCCAAGGCTCCCTGCCTGACTGCCCTGGACACAGCGGGGAAGGCCATCTACACCCTCACCTATGGCAAGTACTCAGGAGGGTGGTCACACTCTGGTGGGGGTGGGGGGCCGCAGTGCTTACTGTGTAGCCTGCGCACACCTGCTGCCCCGCCACATCGCAGCAGGGCCTGAGGAGCACACCTGCCGTGCTGCCTGGGTGTGCGCGGCCAACTGTGTTCTGAGCACTGGGTGCGCTGGCACAGCTTTAGCCACGCAGCGCCTCTGTGCTTGGCGTGTTTGGGTTCCGCGCTACATCTGCTGTCACACAGCTGACGGTGCAGGTACAGCTTGGTGCCTTGGCAGAGTGAATGCTCTTTTGTGAGCTTTAGCTGGCCAGGTCCAGGCCTCCGCGGCCCTCCCAGCACCGATGTCCTCCATACAGAGGGGAGCCGTCCCCCAGCTACTCAGGCTGCAGGCTCTCTGTGGCCTAGATGTTCATAGAAGCGGGATTTTATTTTATTCATTATTGTTTATTTATTTTAATTTTTTTTTTTTTAGTTGTAGATAAAATAAAGGCATTGTGTCCATCTATTTATTTTTATGTGATGCTAAGGCTCGAACCCAGTGCCTCACACATGCCAGGCAAGTGCCCTCCCACTGAGCCACAGCCCAGCCCAGAAGCAGGATTTGATGAAAGCTGCTCTTTGGTGTCTGATGGCTTGCCTCGTGCGAGTCTCCGCCATGCGGTGTGCAGCTGTGTTGACGCTCATTGATGGGTGTTGCGTGCTCAGTGTGTGTTCCACAGCTGTCCTTGCTCTCCCAGTGGTTGTCCCAGCTTGGGACTGCCGTTCAAGAGGCCATTGTGAACACTCTTTTCTCTCCTCTGCAGTCCTGCGTGAGAGCCTGGGGGGGCGCTGAAGGTCAGGGCTCCCAGGAGACGTGCGGCCTTGGGACCTGCACTGCTTTTCCAGAGGGGTGGGAGCAGCACTCCTTCCCAGAGCAGCACGGAGAGCCCCTTGGGCTCCATCTCTTGGCCTTGTGAGTCAGGTTCTGATCTGCCTTTGCTGGGGGCTGCCGGCACTGAAGGCCCTGTCCATGATCCTCCAAGTCTCAGCGTGGCGGCTTCTTTGTCAGATACCTGCTTTGTGGCTGTCTCTTCTCAGCCTGAGGCTTGCCTTCTGGCCTTTCATGGTGGCTTTGATGAGTGGAAGGCCTCCCTGCAGTCGATGTGTCTGTGCCTGTTGAGGTGCAGTGGTAGGATCCCAGCTCTCTGCCTGTTCCTCAAGATGGCTGTGCTGTTGTTGACCCTTTGCATTTCCAAGTAAAGTAGAAACCAGTGGTCACTTTGCTAGGAGTTCTTGCTGGGATATTGGTGGGCACTACATTGAGTGTCTGTGGTTTGATTCAAAGAGAATTGCTATTATCACAGTTCTGGAACCTTCTAGCCCATGACTAGAATATCTCCCTCTTTTTAAAGGCTGCCTTAATTTCTCTCAGTGATGTATCTATACTGCTGAGTACAGAATTCTTGAGCACTTCCGTCAGGTTCGTTCCTGTTCTCAATGTGTGATTAGAATCTCTCCCCTGACTTGGTGACCCCAGCCTGTGGGTGCCGCCCCCCCGAGGGGGCCTGGCTGTGCTCTGGGGGCCCCAGTCTCTGCTGACGGCCCTGGCCCTGCGCCTGGCCTGAGGGTGCAGGACTGGGTCGGGCCGCACCACTCGGTTCCCATCTGGAGTCTGACTCTGGCTGTCTGGCTGCCCCTGACAAGGGGTCTCTGTTTTGTGCAGCTGTGACTCCGCAGTGCCCCTCCTGTCTGATCCACAGCCTTTTAGAATCACCCACAGGATCTCGTGTGGGTGTGGTCAACGTGCTTCTGTTGAGGAAAGAGCATAGCGGGACCCACTTACCAGTTACGCTGTTGGTGGACACCCGGGTGGCGTCCAGCGGTGGCCATTAGAAGTGGTGCTATTGGTGGGTGCTGCTGTGGGCCCTCTGGCAGTGAGCAGGTGCCACTTTCCCAGGCAGGTCCTAGGGGTGGAAGAGCGAGGACCGGGGCCCACGTCCCTCAGCTTGCCCACCGCCACACCCACATGCTGTGGTGGGTGCTGAGTGCTCAGGCCCACTCTCCACCTGCGCTGTGAGAACTGGTGGTGTGGCCATGGCTCTGACACGGCCTCCCGAGGGGTCGGTTGTTGGGCCTTCTGCCCTCTGCCATGTACCCGTGTCCTCTGCATGGCTTCCCAGGTGTCTGCAGGACCTCTTCTGCACCCAGCAGGCTGCCAGCGTCCTTGCCACTGTGTGTGGGTCAGTGGGCAGAAGTTCCAGCCTCTCGCCTTCTTTGCCTTCAAGGTTTCTTTCTTGCTTTCTGTGTTCTGGGAAGACTTCTTCCCTGGACTGTGGTCACAGAGTTGCTCTGTGAACCTGGGGAAGTGCCCACTTTTTTGCCCTTCACATGGCGAACGTCCCTGCCCGGTGTCCCGTATGGGAGAGGTCCTGAGAAGGGTCAGCAGCTGGCCCTCTCTCTGTAGCAGCACCGGGCCCTCTGTCCAGGAGTCCTGCCCGTGAGCCTCTCTTAGCTTCTCTTCTTCTGTTGGCTGATGGCACCTGTGAGCCTTGGCCATGCTTTCTTGGTGCCCATGGCCTTATGATGAGACTCAGCCTCATGGAGAATGTTCCCTGCTTCTCCTCCAAGGGTGTCCCAGCTGTGCCAACCCCATGCATCCCAGGTCATCTCAGAGGAAGCTTGCCAAGTGCCTCAGCATCCCTGCCAGGTTTCTGCTGAGTTGCCTTGATCCGGCCCCGGGAGGACCAGTGCTTCCACAGTCTGGAGTCTTCCATTTCAGTCGCGTCTGGACACTTTCTGCAGGAGACTCTGTGGATTCTTGTGACACTTTGAGTTTTATGTATTTAGAGAGCGTGTTTTGATCTAATTGTAAATGTATCATTATGTTTTAAAATTTACTGTTGTAGCATATTCAGGTGACACGGTGGGGCTGGGCGTGGTTGCCCAGTAGCTGGGCAGGCAGGAAGATTGCAGGTTCAAAGCTGGCCTCAGCAACTTAGTGAGGCTCTGTCCCTAAAAATATAAAGTATAAAATAAAAAGATCTGGGGACACAGCACAATGGCAGAAAAACACTGTGTGCAATCCCCAATACCATTAAAGAATAAATATCATCCTGTGTACTGTCACGCAGGCAGCCTCGCCAGAGTCTTGTAAAAGCATAGTCTGTCCCCAGGTGCTTCCGCACTGCTGCTTCCCCCATCTGGCTGAGGCATTCTGCTCACGGCTGGGGCAGCTGCACTGGCCTCCCTTCTGCCCCCAGAGGGAAGGCTCCAGTGTCCCCTCAGCTAGGGCATTCCCATGGGCTCAAGGTGACCAGCGTCATATTAAGGAAGTATGTGTCCTTTCACACCTAGTTTAGGAAGGGTTTTGAAAAACATTTAAAATCACTTTTAAGCCATGAGTGATGATCGGTTTTCTCCCACCTGTCATCATTGTTCCGTTAATGGTGCTGCGTTTCCATGAACCTCTGCATTTCTGGGTAGAACTAACTTGATCACAACATGTTATTCTTTTCATAGTTTTTATTGGTTTCTGTTTGGAGATGTTTATTATAACTGTTGACATCTTTTTTTTTTAAAGAGAGAGAGAATTTTTCAATATTTATTTTTTAGTTCTCGGCGGACACACATCTTTATTTTATTTTTATGTGGTGCTGAGGATCGAACCCGGCGCCCCTCGCGTGCATGCCAGGCGAGCACGCTGCTGCTTGAGCCACATCCCCAGCCCTATAAGTGTTGACATCTTGACCTTAACTTTAAAGTGGGCTCACTGTGTTTTGAGTTAAATGTTTGCTTTCTGGTGTCTTGGGGTCCACGGCCACTCCCGTCACTTGGTGGTGCTTGGTCAGCACCACTGCTATGGGACTGAACACCGGACCACAGGGCGGGCTGTCCAACCCATGGTGTCCACCGAGCCCGAGGGCCCAGCCTGGGTGTTTTGTTCAGGAATGGCGGCTGTATCAGGGTTGGGAATGAATGTCTCCCATGCTCCTTCTGCTGAGCCCGCTTTCTTCCTGGGTGAGGCTGTTGTCAGCTCCCCATGTTGGGCACTGTGTGAGGTAGCTGCTAGCCAGGAGGGATGGAGAGGTGGTGCCTGGCCGTGGGCCCCTCCAGCCACTGCAGGAAGCTCTGGCCCTTCAGGAAACAGGTAGCGGCCACAGGAGGTGACGGTGGATGTCACGGGTCACACTCAACGCTGTTGGCTGAGGGGGCATGTGAGTGGTGGCCTCTTCCCAGAACTCACAGACGTGCACATGTGCATGTGTGCTCCCATGTACGGCATCATGCATGCACAGCATGGCATGTTTTGCTGGCTTTGCTAGACTTTAAGTGTTCTATAATAAACTCCTGTTTTATGTTTGCATTAAGAAAAATAAATGTATAACTTGTTCTTGGGAGAAAACTGATGTTTGTTGCAGCGTTATGTAGGGTGGCTGTCACCTGGAAACTGGATTTCCAGTCTTAGCTAATGGTATGTTGTTAATGGGGTATTGCAATTGCTGCATTGAAATGTTAACTATTAGGCTCCTTAAATATTACATTGCTTAGTATTTTTATTTTATTTTAGGCAAACTTTGGAGTCGGAGTTTAAAATTAGCTTATACTCTACTTAATAAACTGACTAGTAAGAATGAACCACTACTTAAACCTGGAGACAGAGTAAGTAACTAGAATGTAACTTTATTGGACTGAGCAAAAGCAGGCTTAAGCAGCCTGTTCTGTTGAAATTGTGTCCTGTCGGTTGGTTAGAATGAGTGTTAACCTGCGGGATTTAAAGTCAGCCATGGAAACATACCATGTGGACTGGTGTGCGATGCAGTGCCAAGTGGTCATTCCTCTCCTCCCTGTCGCACACCCACTGGTCTTCCAGCTCATGTTGGGCTTCATGTGTGTTGGCGTTGATAGGCCTTGACTTTGCAGGGCAGGGGTCCATGCTGACATTGACCTGTCCCTGAAGTCCTGGATGCTTTATGTCATCTCCTCCCCACAGGGCTGCCTTGGAAGCCAGCCCCCTAGTCCTGCACTGCCCAGATGGTTGTTTGAATTTAAATGAACCAACGTCAAGTTGAACGAAAGCACAGTCCCTCAGTTGCAGGAGCCATGTATCCAGGGCTCAGCAGCGATGTGTGGGGGATGGTTGCTGTCCTGGGCAGAGTGGAGGTGTTTTCCATAGTCATACAGGGTTCTCTTGGACGGCACCGCCACAGACAGACTGCGTTGACCTGAGGACCCAGGCTTGTGGAAGGTCAGTGTGGACAGCAGCGTATATGTTGGAAATCAGCACGCTTACCAGGGAGGGGAGACCCCAGTGACAGGCCACCCACAGTGAGGTGGCATGTTAACTTGCCAGCCAGAAGCTTCTGCCTCACTCCAGAGAGAGGCTGAGGGTGAAGGAGAAGACAGATGGCATTGAAGATGGAGAGGGGGAGCGAGGGAGAAAATCAGGCGCGGAAGCAGACTTCCTGAAATTAGCATTCAAGAAAAGGATGTCAGCAGAAAAGACCAAGAGTTGGAAAGTAGGAGGAGCCAAGGGGCAGAATTAGAGACTTGGTGAAGGAGGTCCATGCCAGCTTAGCCCTGGGAGTGCAGAGGAGGGTGAGAGCTGAACATTGCAGGCATGCAGGGTGAGTCGCCGGCCCTACAGAGCATCGTGTTCCTCGTGAACACAGCTGACCACTCTAAAGCGTGTGACCACGGGGCAGAAGGCGCCTCAGAGCCATGCACATGGGGAGCACCAGCAGTCACAGTGTGCGGGACTCCTCAGCAGAACCCTGCAGGACAGAGGAGGGTGCCTCAGACATTCAGAGGGGGTGGACCTGTTTCCACCTGGCAAATTCAGTGCGGAACTCAGACCTGGCTCAGGAGCCCCTTTCCTGGCAAGTTCCTAGGGGATGTGTGACAGTGAGTGAGGGGGTCCCCACAGGAGAGTCACACAGAGGTCCCAGGACAGCCAAGCTGCAGCCCTGGCAGGGGGACCAAGGCCAGAGTCGGATGCAGTGCCCTGAGGTGAGTAAAGCTTGGGGTCACGTGACTGGCTGGTTATTGGGAACAGGACCCTGAATGGCAAAAACTTGGCTCATCAGATGGGGTGTCTTAGGGCTGTCAGCCAGCATCCATGGAACAGATGGAGGGAGACCCTTGTGGCACCACTCTTAGGGGTGCTGTGTTCAGGCAAGGTGTGTGTGGGGCTTCAGGACGGCCTGCAAGACCCTGACTCCCCCCCCCCCCCACTCCCTGAGCCTAGGGATTGCAGCTCATTTTCTTTCAAGGACAAAGATTTGCAGATGGTTGCCCTTAGGCAATAAAAAGGTGCACTCAGCCAGCAGGTTAGTGTTGGAGATCGGTGGCCACAGGCTGCCGGCTGACGCCCTTCACAGATGGTGACGACACTCCTTCACCACAGACTCTCTGGAAGGATGTTTCCCTGACAGCCATCTGTCTCAGGGTGTGGGTCACATCTCTGGGCAGCTGTTAACACCGGCCCTCAAGGAGAGTCTATCCTTCCCCACGAATGGACTTGCTGGCAGCTTTGCAGAGCCTAGGTCCAGAGTGGGTTCTGCCCATCTTCCCGGGGGCCCTGTCTGAGTCTGCCTGTTTAAGGACTGTTCTGACCTACTATGGCAGAAACGGGGCTTATGAAAATGTTTTTCCATATGTAGCTTCTAATTTGAGTAGATACAGTTTAAAAAAAAAGAAACCTGGGATGAAAGCAGGAATGCAAAATGTTTCCCTAAAATAACAGGATATTTTAAAATGTAAAATGTAGAAATGTCAACCCAGTATTTAAAAGCATGAGAGTGAACAACAAAGGACAGATCTAGAATATTTTAAATGTGTTGTTTTAGTAGGTGACCAAGGACAGGGCATGGTGCTACTGTTTTTCATTGGTATTGTGGTCATTTTAGACCATTTTAATACAAATTAAAATGCAAGGTGAATGAGGGAGAGCTGGTAATTCACAGGTGCAGCACCCTGTCTAGATGGGAGTGGGAGGGTGCCCAGGTGTGAGCGAGAGGGTGCCCAGGCAGGCGTAGGTGCCCAGGTGGGAGTGGGAGGGTGCCCAGGTGGGAGCGAGAGAGTGCCAGGGTGGGAATGGGAATGTGCACAAGTGGGAACAGGTGCCCAGGTGGGAGTGGGAGGGTGCCCAGGTGGGAGCAGGTGCCCAGGCAGGAATAGGTGTCCAGATGGGAGCAGGACGGTGCCCAGGCAGGAGTAGGTGCCCAGGCGGGAGTTGGAGGGTGTCCAGGTAGGAGCAGGAGGGTGCCTAGGCAGGAGGAGGTGCTCAGGTGGGAGCAGGAGGGTGCCCAGGCAGAAGTAGGTGCCCAGGTGGGAGTGGGAGGGTACCCATGTGGGAGCAGGAGGGTGCCCAGGCAGGAGTAGGTATCTAGGTGGGAGTGGGAGGGTGCCCAGGTGGGAGCAGGAAGGTGGGCATGAGTAGGTGCCCAAGCAGGAGTAGGTGCCCAGGCGGGAGTTGGAGGGTACCCAGGTAGGAGTGGGAGGGTGCCCAGGTAGGAGCGGGAGGGTGCCCAGGCGGGAGTGGGAGGGTGCCCAGGTGGGAGTGGGAGGGTACCCATGTGGGAGCAGGTGCCCAGGTGGGAGTAGGACAGTGCCCTGGGGCCTGCCGAGTCCCTTCAGGTAGCTCTTGAGTGAAGACTGCTCAGTGACAGCGCGCTGTTAGGACGGTTGGCTTTGGAAACTGTTGTTTTAGATATAACTTGATTCAGGTGGTGGTCAGCATGGACAGGCCCTGTCCAGCAAGAGCTGGACAGCCTTGGCTTGAGGAGTAAAGATGGCCCTAACCCACAAGCCAGTCATTCAGAGTCATGTGAACCAATCCCGAGTTGAAGTTTGGAAAAGTGTGAGAATGCGGGTTGTCTGAGCCTCGTCTGCCGTCGGAGCCTGCGTTGGAACATCCTCCTGCCAAGGAGTCCTCAGGTTTTCCTTGTCCTGTTGCAGGTGGCGCTCGTGTTTCCCAACAGTGACCCCGTGATGTTCATGGTCGCGTTTTATGGGTGTCTCCTGGCAGAGCTGGTTCCGGTCCCCATAGAAGTGCCATTGACAAGAAAGGTAGCAAGCCTGGGCTGGGCGTTCTGCACTTGGTGCACGGGGGGGCCAGGCCTGGCTTCTCTTCAGCTCTGGCATGAGCTGGTATGTGCCCTGCCTTGAGGAAGGTGGCCCCAGGCCAGCTGGCCAGACTTCAGCATGAAGTCAGGTGCCGTCTGTCCCCAGGCTGAGGTGGGGATTGCCGCCCTGCTGGGGCAGCTGCCTGGTCACCTGTTGAACTTCCCAGAAGGAGCAATGGGCATTCTCTCCTCCAGGGAACAGAACGTGATTCTACAAGGCTTTGTTAGGCCTTTGCTCAAAACCAGGTGGTAGTTAGTGTTGAATAAACAAGATAAAAGGTCCCATTTGTTTCTCTTCTTGTCACTGATATCTTGACACAGGGAGCATGCTCCACCATGTGAGATGTAAACATTGGGAATCTCACTGTAGAAAACACCACTTGGGGGCAGACTGGGCATGTGTTTTAGAAAGTCCGATTCCTGCACCTGACTCAGGCAGCCTTGAGCGAGCACGGGAGCCACAGCCCTGGTCAGGAGTACCACGGTGAGGCTTGCACATGGAGCCAGAGTGTCCTAAAGGAAGCCATAATCAGGTATTAGAACAAAGTGATTCCTAGGAAAGAAACTAGAGATTGGTTAAACTTAGGTGAAGAGAAGCGCACGCCGTGCAGCAGGACGTGCACAGGTGGTGAGAGCTGCAGCCAGGGATTTCTTGTGGCTTAGCTCATGCTGATAAGGCCAGCCTCCCCGAGTCAGCTCGTAAATTTTAATCATGATGCGACAGAAATTTTAATGCTGTTATCTTTAGAGCTTATTAAAATGAGTTTAAATGTCATTTGCAAGAGTGAACTTCTTAGCCCTTTATCCAGAACCTTATATTTTACTGCAAAACAAATTTAAAAAATGCATTTTAAATTTAAAAACGATTCTCTTATTTTTATGTGCTATTTCCCTGAAAATATAATAACTGGCCAGTGATAGGACTGAATTGTTCTAGAAGTTTCCTGAGGTTGGAAACAGCTCTTCTCTCTGTGAGAGCTGGAGCACTAATGGCCAGTGCTGTGGCTCTGCTGGTGCCCACTTGCCCTCTGTTGCCTGTCCTCTGCAGGATGCAGGCAGCCAGCAGGTTGGGTTTCTGCTGGGCAGCTGTGGTGTCACCCTGGCCCTAACTACAGATGCGTGTCAGAAGGGCCTGCCCAAGTCACAGACGGGAGAGGTGGTGACCTTCAAAGGTGAGCCTCCAGGGTGTGAGGAGTGGGTTCAGCTAGCACGGTGCCGCTGGGCCCGCTGCTCCAGGAAGTGCACTCAGTGAGTCTCCGTGTTTGTCTGCTTCAGTGTCTCGACCCCTTCTGTCCACGGTGGTGGCCACTGGCTAGATCTACCTATTTAAATGAAGCAAAATGGGGGCTGGGGATGTGGCTCAGGCAGTAGCGCGCTCGCCTGGCATGTGTGCGGCCCGGGTTTGATCTCAGCACCACATACAAACAAAGATGTTGTGTCCGCCGAGAACTAAAAAAAAAAAGAAATTAAATGAAGCAAAATGAAGTGAGACTAAACTTGGCTAATGGCCGTGTGTTGGATGCGTGTTGAACGCAGGCTCCTGTTGTGGGGAGCAGGGCCCTCCAGCTCCAGCGCAGTGTTCCTGTCTGCTGTCACAGGCTGGCCCCCCCTCGCCTGGCTGGTGATCGACGGGAAGCATTTGGCCAAACCCCCCAAGGACTGGCTCCCTCTGGCTCAGGACACCGGGGCTGGGACTGCCTACATCGAGGTGGGTGAGCCCCCGACGTGTGTCCCCACGGGCTAGCTGCTATGTGTCATGACCTCAGGTCGAAGCTCCCCTTAGCTGTTGTCTCTGTCCTGGAAAGAGGTCCTGCAGGACCTTGTGCAGACCTGAGGTTCCGTCTTGGGCACCTGCTGGGTTCCTGGAGGGTGGCCAGTGAGGGGAGCCCTGCCATTGCCCCGTGCCCCGTCAGCCTTCATCCTGCTCACACAGTCTCCGGGATTGCCACATGACGCTCTCTCTCCTTGGAACCTTTCAGTATAAGACCAGCAAAGAAGGCAGCACCGTGGGGGTGACGGTGTCCCACACGTCCCTGCTGGCACAGTGCCGGGCTCTGACCCAGGCCTGCGGGTACTCAGAAGGTAAGGGCGCACGTGGCAGCATGGAAGCCCTTCCACCCCACGCAGTCCTCAGCACCCATCTTGCCTGAGATTGTCCCTGCAGTGTCGCGTCCAGCCTGGAGGCCTGTGCCCTTTCCTCCAGCCGCCACGTGGGCAGGCGTGCTGGCAACATGGGACCAGACGTGTTGCAGACCTGGTGACCCCTCAGGGCCATTTCGGCCAGTGCACAGTATTGACTTAGAGGCTGCACACGGGGGAGTCGTGTGTCTGTGATGAGCTGCCTCTGAAACGGGCAGAGCTCACATCTGCTATCCTGCAGGTGAACCCTTGGGTGGGTCTTTGTGATCACAGGTTACCTCTTGGGAAAGGACAGGCAGCTCCCAGTTTTACTGTTGAATATCAGGTATTTAGCCTAGAGAAATACTGTAAATTGATTTTTAAATCAAGGTTTTGTATGGATAGATAACTGGTATTTATAGGGTCCAATGTGAGAAATGTCTTTAGGACCTTCCAGGTGGGCCCAGGTAGTTTTCTTTCATAGTAAATGCTCGAATAAAACCTGGAAGTAACATCAGATATCATGCTCAAATGTCTAGAATACAGGTGTTTCAAGCAAGGGGCAGCATGTGGACATAGCTCAAGCTTCAGTGGAGACTTGGGAGAGGTTCTGGGTGTTTTCCAGGGGTCTCTTCCTCTTGGGACCCAGAGCTGGCCTACTGTGTGCCACCTGTGACATGACCTGGTGCTGCTGCAGGCATCACGGTTCAGAACAGAGCTTCACAGCACTCAGGGTGACCCCCCTGTCCCTGGTTCTCCCAGCATCTGCTTTGAGCTCCTAGGTAGCCCTGGCCTGTGGACCCCAGGGTCTGTCCTCTGCCCCCTGAGAGGTGGCATCCAGAGGCCTTGGCCTGGGTTCCTCCCCTGGATAAGATGAGAGGTAGCTTCTGGAAGGCGGCTTAAGCCACCAGCTCTTCAGGAGGGGGCATGGGACTATGGCCTCTGGGTGGAGAGCTGGGGATCTGTGTGATAAGAGGCCAGGTGTCTGTGTCAGTCCTACCCCTCACCTCTTGATTCTGAGGAGTGTCCACTCAGGGTGTCTGGTGAAGCAGGTGGCCACCTGTCCTGCAGCTTTTTCAGGATCTGACTTTCCCTGTCTTTAGATCTGTGATCAGCAAGGTTCTCTACTTCAGTTCAGAGCTGTATGTTAACGGGAATTTGACAGACCACCACGATCACTGGTTGGTTAGTGCATTGTGTCTGAAGATGCCATTCTGGTCCTTAAGCTCAGTTGTGTTGGTGGTATACGCATCTTGGAATTTCTCTAGAACACACACACACAGCACAGGTGTGGTGCACACCTGTCATCCAGCAACTCAGGAGGCTGAGGCATGGCCATCACAAGTGTGAGGCCAGGCTGGGCAACTTAGCAAGGACCTGTCTCAAAAATGTAAAGGGCTGGGGTGTAGCCCAGAGATAAAGCAAGAGAGATCCTGGCCTTTTGGTTCAATCCCCAGTACCAAAAGAGAGAAAAAGGAACACAGCTGCTGGTTGTTAACCCCCTTGTGTGCTTTCAGCTGAAACGCTAACAAACGTGCTGGACTTCAAGAGGGATGCTGGTCTGTGGCACGGCGTGTTGACGGTGAGTGCTGTTGGCTGTCCTGTCTTGTTCCAAGAGATGTGCTGGGCCCTGAGGGAGTGGGGTGAGGATGCGCTGTTCTGTTGGCTTCTGGCAGGACTGTGCTGCTCACCCAGTGGGTCTGTTTTTCCTGCAGAGCGTCATGAACAGGATGCATGTGGTCAGCATCCCGTACGCGCTCATGAAAGCCAACCCACTCTCCTGGATCCAGAAAGTGTGCTCCTATAAAGGTACAGCACCATGCTGCGCGCCACCCTCTTGGACATCTCTGAACTGCGTTTGTACATTACAGACAATAAAGCCAGAAAGTAGGACCATGGGTGCAGGTGGCCCTTGGCTGAGCAGGTCAGCTTGTGCAAGGCAGCAGCCATTTGGAAAGGAGCAACTGAGCTTAGTATCTGAATGCTCTTCATCTGAATTTAGGGTTTTTGAAGTGACCAGTGACAAAGCTGTGATAGGTGGAATGAYTCGTGGTGAGATGGGGCTACCAGCAGGGCCCTGTTTCCCCGATCCCAGTGGTCAGTGTGCCCCCAGGATGGCGGAGGCCGTGGCACAGGTTGCTGGCTCGGCTCGGACTTCCCCTGTGTTCGTGGTAGAGCCGCATGCCCGAGGCCCAGACTCTCCTGGGCACTGTGTCGCCCTGTCCTGCCTGTGGTGACAAAGTATGCTGTGGGGTATGTTCCGAGCAGTGTCTGACCACAGCTCTCTATTCATCCAGCTTTACTGAGGGAACTGAAGCCTGCAGGAAGGGGTGGGTCAGAGCCTACCCAGGCTTCCCTCTCCTCTGTACCCGGAGGCTGGCCAACCTGGCAGGGCAGGCAGCACGGCAGTGCAGATAGTGGGCTGTCATCAACCAGGGCTAGCAACTCAGGAGAGACGTATGAGGCCACACAGGCCAGTGTGTGTAGAGCAAGGTGGAGCTCCAGATCACAGTGAAGTGGAGGTGGCTCTGAATCTGTTGACTTCTGAGGAGAAGGTGTGGGCAGGTCAGGCAGCTGTGAGAGAAAGCTGCAGGCAGCACAGGGACTGGACGCAGGCCCCAGCCCCCTGGGCCTGCCTCTGCATGGGTGGAGGAGGTGAGCCAGAGGAGGAGGCTGTGCCCTGCAGCTCGTGCTCTCTCTCTCTCTAGCCCGGGCTGCGCTGGTGAAGTCCCGCGACATGCACTGGTCTCTGCTGGCTCAGCGAGGGCAGAGGGATGTCAGCCTCAGCTCACTGCGGATGCTGATCGTGGCCGACGGGGCCAACCCATGTGAGTAGGCCAGCCCTCAGTGTCCCCTTCCGCAGACCTGGGCTCTCCAGGGAGTCTGGATACCCTCTGGAAGTAGAATCTGTGGAGAAACAAAATCAAGCCCCTTTCATGTCAGTGTCCAGTAAAACACAAATGTCGTAGGATGTGCCTGGCACCTGTGCTTACTGCTGCTGCACTGCATGTCTCGTGCCTGTTGGTTAAGGTGCTGACTTTCAAAGCGGTTTTGACCATCCACAGAACGCAACTTGACATGTCGTCTTTTTTTTTTTTTTTTTTTTGGTACTGGGGATGGAACTCAGGGGCACTTGACCACTGAGCCACACCCAGCCCTGTTTTGTATTTTATTTAGAGACAGGCTCTCACTGAGTTGCTTGGCGCCTGGCTTTTGCTGAGGCTGGCTTTGACCTCGAGAGTCTCTGGGATTGTCGTGTCGTCTTTCTTAAGAGAGCACCAGATTGTGCAGGCGACGGGGTCCTCTCTTCCTTGGCCTGGTCCCCACTGCTCTGGCTCCTGGCCCAGCTTCTCCAGCTGGGGTGGCTCTTCTTCCTGCGTGCAGGCCTGTCCCGCCCCACGTGGCCCCAGATGGAGATCCTGAGGCTGTGGCCCGAGCCCTCGGACCTTCCTGTGCACACTGGTGGACTGCAGAGGCTGCCGGGGACTCTGGAGCAGGCTCAGGCGGCCCTTGCGGAGCAGGGCTGTCGTGTGGCCTGTGCCTGCTGACCAGGTGGCAGAAGTTTCTTGTTGACTGAACTTGTATCAGCCAAGGTCTCCGAGTCCCCTGCCTTGAGAGAGCAGGTGGGGCACACAGCACCCCAAACCCTCTCATTTCCTTGGTTCACCCTGGAGCTGAATGGGGCCTGCCTTAGTCCTGGGGTGCTGCTCTTGTCTGGCTACCTCCTCCTTCCCAGCCTGCCATTAGCAGTCCTGCTGCCTGAGGCCATGTTGGCACCTTGGTCCTTGAAACCAAGTCAGAGCTCACCACTCCTTCCAGGGCTACCTCCTCTTGACAGCCCTGCCCTACCACTAGCTATCTGGGCTCCCATGTGTCTTCCACTCTCTGGTCCCTCTTGATGTCCCCTCCTCCCTTATGGTGCTGAACAATATGTGGTCATCCTCTTTCCTCTGCAGAGTGTGAAGGCTGAGGGCCCTGTGGGTGGCCCTGCCTTTCTGTGCACCCCTGAGATAGAAGAGGTTTGAGTGAATCCGTGGGTGGTCACAAGGCCGTGCTGACTCAAGCCCTGAGCAGGCAGGAGCTGACATCACACATCGCCAGCACCCACTCGTAAGGCCTGCCATCCCTGGCTGTGACAGGACCCTCCCAAGAAGAGGAAAAGCCAAGGGCTAGGGCACAATGGTAGTCTTGCTGCCAGCACGCAGACTGCACAGCTCAGGCTCCTCCAGGAGCTGGGTGCGCCCACACCACGGGCCATCAGTGCCCGGCATGGTCTTGGTGCGGCAGAATGTTTGGGCCACAGGCATCCCTCAGCCGACTCTGTTGGTCCAGGACATGAAGCACAAGGACCGTCCACCACTGTCCATGAGAAGACAGGGAGGGCAAAGCCTCTAAGGAGCAAGAGGCTGGGGAAAGCCTCTGACTTGCTACAACTGGAAGTGTTTCATGTGCCCCCTGCACACAGCCCACCTTGCAGGCAGGCTGCCCTGAGTTGTGGTGGTGACCTTTCCCAGCGGGGCTGTGTGCTCAGGGGGACCTGGCTGGCAGGTGCATCTGCCAGGCCTGTGGCCTAGAGTCTTACCATCCCCTGGTGCCTTCACGTCGTGCCATTGCTCCCCAGGGTCCATATCCTCCTGCGATGCCTTCCTCAACGTCTTCCAGTCCCGAGGCTTGAGGCCAGAGGCCATCTGCCCCTGTGCCAGTTCTCCTGAGGCCCTGACGGTCGCCATCCGCAGGTAAGCCCATCCCGAAACCTTCCACAGTAGGGGTCTGTCCTGACGTCCTGGCACCTCAGGGTTCCAGGCTGCTGTGCAGCAGTGCCGCTCGGGCCCAGCCCCTTGCAGCCCAGACATATACTGGGCGTAGGGGGGTGGCTCCCTCATCTGTGTGGGACCCTGCGGCGTCGGGCATGTGCTTTCCTAAGTGCTTCCTCCCCAGGCAGTCTTGCCATCGCATCCTTGGCCTCAGTGAACATACTTCTGATGAGCTGTGTCCCTTGTTCGCAACAGGCCAAGGATGGGCCTGGAGAGGTGCCAGCCCCTGACCCTCATAGGTCCCTCCACCACCTGGTTGTTGCCATGGTGGTCTGTGGCAGCATGGTCAATGGTGCTGGGAGGCCACAGACACCTGAGCTCCTGGCTCTGGGCTCCTCCTGTGTCCCGTGCACATGCCACTTTGCTCCTCCTCTCATGCCCAACCTGCCCAGCAGCTCCTTGGGCTGCAGGCCGTTACCCACAGCTGAGGGTCTTCATTAGCTTCCTGCTCCAGCACTGTCCTTGCAGAATTACCTCAGTGCAGGCACAGGTGCTCACAGATACCGCCTGTGGAGCAGCCTGCGTCCTAAGGTAGCATTAGAAACCCCTTTGCCCTTCACATTGAATCATCCCTCATTCCTTTGTTCTGGGGTGACTTGTTTCTGTTGGTATATAAACACAGTGGAACATTGCTCAGCGTTAAAAGAATAAAATCATGGCACTTGCAGGTAAATGGGTGAGTTGGAGAGTATCAGGCTAAGTGAAGAAGCCAAACCCCCAAAACCCAAGGCCGAGTGTTTTCTTTGATATGAGGATGCTGACTCGTAATGGCGATGGGGGGGCATGGGAGGAACGGAGGGACTCTAGATTGGGCAAAGGGAACGGACGGGATGGGAGGGGGCGTGGGGGTAGGAAAGACGGTGGAGGGAGTCAGACATCCTTACCCCAAGTCCACGTATGAAGACACGAATGGTGTGAAAATACTCTGTGTACAACCAGAGACTTGGAAAATCGTGCTCTGGGTGTGCCATGTGAAGTGAACTGCATTCTGCCCTCATATATAACAAACTAGAATAAATAAATGATTAAAAAAAGAAAAAAGAAGTGCCTTTGCCCTTCACACTGGATCCCCTCGTTCCTTTGTTCTGGGAGACCTGTTTCTCTTGAGCTTGTCGTCTTTCCTCCCTGAGCAAGTGCTGTGCTGGGTTCCTCAGGTGGCTCTCAGTGGCTGGGGTCTCCTGGTGCTCCCGTGGGCAGGCTGTGGGCCGCTCTGCTCAGCCTCTGTGCTGTGTGGGGAGAGGGCGGCGGCTCTGCAGTATGCAGGTTCAGGCCACCTCGTGGCTCTTCTTGGCCCCCTCAAGCGCCCTCATGCATATGGCCTCAGCCTCTATGAGCGACTCCAGCAAGCATCCTGAGATCACCCACGAGGAAGCCGCGTCACCTTTTTTTTTTTTTAATTGTCAGTAGACCTTTATTTAATTAATCTATTTGCGTATTTATACGTGTTGCTGAGGATCGAACCCAGGGCCTCACACATGCTAGGCAAGCACTTTACCACTGAGCTACAGCCCCAGCCCCCTGAGACACCTTTATGTCCTCCCTGGGAGGTCACGGTGCCATTTCTCTGGGATGGAGGCGCATCAGGGCTCACTGTCCCAGGAGTTTTGAAACAGTGTGATGGTCCCTGGTACCGAGCAGCTGCTTTGCTGTGGTCTGGGGCTGCTGGCCAGGTGGGTGCCATCCCTGAGCCAGCCTGCTGATGCTCTTATTTCCAGGCCGCCTGACCTGGGGGGACCTCCTCCAAGGAAAGCTGTGCTGTCCATGCATGGCCTGAGCTACGGCGTGGTCAGAGTTGACACTGAGGAGAAGCTGTCTGTCCTCACTGTCCAGGACGTGGGCCAGGTGATGCCTGGAGGTAAGGCCACCAGAGCAGCCGCCTGCTACAGCCGACACAGGCTGCCTGGGTGGTGCTCTGGAAGCATGTCCACATCTAGGATGCTCAGAACTGCTTTCCATCTGTACAGTGCTTTTCGACCTCTCCCTCCCTTTCTGCTAAGTTGGGGGACGAGGTGAAACACAGCCGTGCTGGTGGCCAGTGAAGTTGACCTGTGGTCATGCTGTGGTGCTCAGTGCTGGCCCGAGCTTCATGCCTCCTGGCTTGGAGGAGGTTGCGCTGGCCAGTGACTTGCTGTCGAGATTCCCGAGGGGCACTTGTGAGAGGAGGCTGGTGAGGAGGTATCCCAGAAGTTCCTGTGGCTTCCAGAGAGGCCCACGTGCCCTCCCACAGAGTTGGCCTGTGGGCCAGAGGCCACGGGAATGTTGGGGTCACAGCCGTGGCAGTGCAGCAAGCAGGAAGGCGAGCAGCATGTCCAGGGAGCAGTCTCACTGAGGAAGCAGCGTAGAGCCTGGCCCTGGAGGCCCTCGGCGAGTCCCTGGCTCTGAGGTTGCCACCTCTGTGACAGCCTACTGGGGCCCAGAGGCAGCTATCTTGCTCTTTTGGTGATGTCTAGAGGCATCCAGTCACCCCTGTCCCCGTGCTGTCTGCCTGTGTCAGGTCACAGGACGTGCAGGCTACCTGGCATCCTGGCCTGGCTGCAGCCCTCCCTGCAGCCTGTCTGCACAGACTTGGGCTTCTCAGGTGCAGTGCTGGGAGCTCCAGTGGAGAGTCATGGACAACACCTGACCAGGGGTGAATGCACAGTGCCCCCAGGTGTGGTGTGCACATTCCCCTCCCAGGTGTGGTGTGCACAGTGCTCCCCTAAGTGTTGTGTGCACATCACCCCCTGCCACGTGTGAGTATGCACAGTGCCCCCCAGGTGTGAGTGCACATGCCCCCTCAAGTGTTGTGTGTATGGTGCTCTCCCAGGTGTTGTGTGCGCAGTACTCCCCTAGGCATTACTCTACTTTCTGGGCCCCTCTGTGGGCCCTGGCTGTGCCCCTGTGTGTGGACCGGCCAACGTGAACAGTCCCAGTGACTCTTGTTCTGGCAGTTCCGTGGCCTCCCACTGTGTGGCCCCCACAGTGTCCGTGTCCACTGTCGTATGAAGTGGCTTGTGGCAATGTGTGTCTCTGTGCATGTCTGAGCCTGTTGCCTTGGAGCTGCACCCCAGGCTGGTGATCCACACAGGCACCTCCTGCACTGTGGCTGTGCCTCCAGCTTCTGTCACCCGAGAGGCCAGTCCTATTGACAGGGCTTATTATATTAGCGACCTGCTGTGCTCTGAAGTCACCTCACACTGCCCTTCCTCTGCCTTCTGTTTTTGTGGCACAGGGAACACAGCCCAGGGCCTCAGGCATGCTCGGCAGGCACTCACCGCAGACCTCATCCTGGCCCTCTACTGCCTGTAACTAGTGTCATGTGACATGGGAAGACTTAATAACTAGGTGGAGTGTGTCTGTACACATTTATGTCATAAGTCTTACAAGAACTTGTGGTTTCTGTCATGTTTCCGTAACTTCAAATATGGCAGCAGCAAGTAGGGCTTTGAGGGTGATCCGCTTACATAAACTCTTTACTCATGGCCTTGAATGTCTTTCTCTTTTTAGCTAGTGTGTGTGTTGTGAAGGTTGAAGGTACCCCGTATCTTTGCAAGACTGATGAAGTTGGAGAGATCTGTGTTAGTTCCAGTGCAACTGGAACAGCATACTACGGATTACCTGGAATCACAAAAAGTGTGTTTGAGGTTTGTGCCTTTTCCTGGTCTTTGTGCTGAAGTCAAGACCCCACTGGTGTTGATGGGGCCCTGGGTGCAGGGTACCGGAGGCTGCGATTGCTGCTGTAGGTGCACTCTACCTTGAACAGGGGAGGCTGGGACAGCCTGGCCAGCAGGAAGGCCTAGAGAGGCCTCTGCTGAGTTTGCCTCTTTACGACACTCATTGCTCATACTAAGTCTGGTGAGGCCAGCCAGGTATAGCCAGGCACCGGGCAGACGTAGACGTGAGGGCCGCCTGAGCCCTGCTTCAGGAACCGTTCAGGCAAGGGAGGAGTCCGACCCATAAAACAGGGCAGGAGGCCAGGGACCTTGGGAGTCCAAGCCACAGCCTTGCGGTCTCTCACTCCACTTTCACAGCTCTGTGTTATGGAGGGTGGGGGGGTCTCACCTGCCCACCAGTCTACAGCCTGATGTCTCCTGCTCTGTACAGACTGTCCCTGTCACAGTAGGAGGAGCCCCTGTCTCTGAGAGGCCTTTCACCAGGACAGGCCTGCTGGGCTTCATTGGGCCTGTGAGTATGTCCTCTTGAACCAGGATGGCAGTTGGGGTGGGCCAGGTGGGGGCAAGGGACACTTCACCTGAGTTCTGTGTGCCCCAGTTGGTCATGCTGACCGTGCCTACATGTGGCGTTATCTGTGTGCAGGGCTGTCCACGCCCCTGTGAGACCAACCTGCAGACCATACGCAGCCTGGGGGTGGCTGGAGGTGGGCCAGGGCGCCAGGTGCATGGGCGCGATGCTGCTCTTTACCACTTTGGGTGTCTGAAGTATTTAGATTTGCTTTGACGTCTGACCCCACAGTTCTCAGCAGGGTGTGGACCCACTCCCGCTCCCAGGAGACATGAAGGTGTTGTTGCTTGGGGAGGGGAGTGCCACTGTCAGCTAGTGGGTCTCTAGAGGCCGGCGTGCTGCTCGGCCTGCGCCTTGTGGGGCCCAGTGCCTGTGGCAGGATGGTCAGCCCAGGGTATCAGGTGCCACGCTCAGCCAGTGGCTTCCAGTGTCCTTTGCGGGGTTTCACCCACGACCTGAAGCCCTCGGAGCCTGGCTTACCCCCAGGCCGCCACACCTCCCAGCAGCTTCCCTCACCCGTCGCCCTCACCTGTAGCCCTCACCTACAGCCATTGCTTGCCTTAGTTCCTGAGGGTGCTGCAGCGCTCTGCACCCTATGTTGAGAGGCACTGGGTTTAGGTGGGGCTGACCACACCCCTCCCTAGGACAACCTGGTCTTCGTCGTGGGCAAGCTCGACGGGCTGATGGTCGTGGGAGTCCGCCGACACAACGCAGATGACGTCGTGGCCACCGCTCTGGCCGTGGAGCCCATGAAGTTTGTCTACAGAGGCAGGTGATGCGCTGCAGACCCTGCACTGTGGGTTTCAGATCCCCTCCAGTTAACGTTTGGGAAGTCAGTGCAGTGGAAAGAAAGCCAGTAAATCTAGGTTTGTAAAACCTAAGAATTTCTGTATATCAGAAAAACATCACAAAGGAAAAGAGAAGTTTGCAACAGCGATACCAGAGTTAATGTCTGCACTACCCAAGGAGTTTGTTCACTTCCTTAAGAGAGCCAGGTAGGCATATCATGGGGCAGAGGGCAAGGGTCAGCCAGCCCTGGGCAGGTGAGGAGACAGACCAAGTTCAGCCTCCTCCAACCTTAGAAACGCCGACGAAAACAGAGCAGCCCACAGTTGACTCTTGTGCAGTGAGACGGGACAGGCGCAGTGCCGTTGCTGCCAGGTGACGGTCTGCCTAGCTTCTCTGCATGTGGTGAGGGAGGAACTTAGTGGGTCTTGCTGCGTCTAAGCAGACAGCTGCGTCTCTGGGAGGGGGTTTCCTCCAGCTCCTCCTTGTCCTGGAGGAGCCCTTGTCCTCAGGGTCTGCTCAGCTGGCCCCCACTCCAGGTTTTATTCTTCCCAGAGGAATACCTCTGGCTACTCAGACAAGGTCCCTGTGAGCCAGGCCAAGCCCTGCCGTTGTACCTGAAAGGAGTCGTCAGGGGATTCTGTCAGATGAACCGCTGGCCCTTCCCCTAGGTCGGGTCTAGAGAAGCCCCCCACTCAGAAAGGCCCTCAGGCAGGCTGTGTGGGCCCATGTCTGTAGGGAAGGACAGCCCCAGCCTGGGTGCAAGTGCCTTGCCAACAGCCTGCCCCTCGTGGGGACCCTGTGGGTGCAGGTGTGTGGGAGGATGGCATCAGGGTAGCCTCACCTGCTTCTCGGGTGAGCTGGGGAGGCTGCCTCCTCCTGTGCAGCGGCCACCTGAAGTGACATCGTGATGCCAGCCAGGTGGTCGGCAGGGGCAGGGAGGCTGTTGGCCCCCAGGGGGCTGAGGAGTACAGGGTCCTAAAGCGAAGCCATAGCCAGTGGCCTGTGTGTGCTCTTGGAAAAAGACACAGTAGATGGATGAGGACAGCTGGGCAGGGAGGGACACCTGGCAAGCCAGGTAAGGCGCTGCTCAGAGTGCAGAGAGAAAGCTCAAAGGCTGCAGGGGTGAGGAGAGGAGGAGGGCTTGGGGTGGTGGCTGTGGGCAGGGGTGCTGGAGGGCAGGGCAGGCGGGGCAGGCAGGAGGCGCACCCTACATGCGCCGGTACAGGGGCTGCTGTGCCAGGAAGCCAGGCAGACACCTCAGGCAGCACAGGGACCAGCACGGGAGCCTCAGCGATTTTACCACAAAACAAGGCGTATCGAGAACACTGTGAGACAAGGCACTAAGAGAAGTGCATTAGGATGTGCTACGGAGAGGCCAGTGAGGGACATACTGGGCCAGGTCTCAGATAGAAGCACCGCGGGGGGTGTCAGGTGTCTGGGTTGGTGTGTGTGGTGCATGTCAGGTGTGTGGGTTGTGTGTGTGGTGCATGTGTGTTTGCTGTGGTGTGTATGGAGGATGTGGTGGTGTGCAAGGGATCTGTGCAGAGTGTGTGTGCTGCTAAAGGACAGAACGAGAACGGGTGCCGTAAAAGCTCAGAAGGGACTGCTGCCCCGAGCAGGAGGGGTCTGGTGGGAGACCTGCTTCTCACTGCCCTGGGAAAAGGTAGGAGGAAAGGGCAGCAGGGGAGGAGATGGTGAGATCGCTGAGGCCAGACGTTGGGCAGGCCCACGCTTGTCCGTCCCAGCGAGTCAACAGGTGAGCTGGTGCAGAGCGGAGCGCCTGGGGTTGAGGGCTGCACGAGCTTCTGACCAGGACCTGCACCAGCCAGTGAGGCACCCACATCAGTGCTCTGTGCCGAGGGCTCTCCTGTCATATGCTGGGCCTCTCCCCTGCCCCAAGGAGGCTAGAATGGGTCACTGTGCATTTGCTGACTGTGGTGAGGGCAAAGCACTTGTGTCCTCTGCTGTGTGGTCACTCTTGCCTGGTCCTCCCTCAGGATTGCTGTGTTCTCTGTGACTGTGCTGCATGATGACCGGATTGTCCTGGTGGCTGAGCAGCGGCCCGACGCCTCTGAGGAGGACAGCTTCCAGTGGATGAGCCGCGTGCTGCAGGTGGGTCCTTGGGAAGGGGACCCCAAGGCACTGGGGTGTGTGCATGCCACGGAGGTTGCAGGACCCCACACTGCAGTGTCATTTCCCACTTTGACGTCTTTGCAGTACAGTATTCCACGGGTAGCAGGCGTAGACACCTGTGTGATGGCCCACGTTCCCCTCCCTGGAGGCTGGGTCTTTGCTTCCGTATGAATTTTAGGATTTTCTTTCTAGTTCTGTGAAGAATATTATACAACATTAACATTTTGGTGGGAATTGCATCAAATCTATAGGTTTCTTTTGGCAATATGGCCATTTTAATGGTATTTATTAGGCCTGTTTGTGACCATGGAACATCTTTCATCTTATGTTCTCTTCTTCTATTTCTTTTTCCTTGTAGAGATCTTTCACCTACTTGGTTAGATTTATTCCTAGGTTTTTGTTTAGTGTTTTTTTTTTTTTTTTTTTTGAGGCTATTGTGAATAGAATTATTTTCCTGATTTGTTTCTCATGAGTTTATTATTGGTATACAGGAAAGTTGTTGATTTTTTTTTTGTGTGTGTGTGTATGTTGGTTTTGTATCCTGCTACTTTGATGAATTTGTTAGCTCTAGAATCCTTTGATGGAGTCTTCAGGGTCTTCTGGGCATATGATAATATCTGCAAATAGGGATGATTTAACTTCCTCCTTTCTTATTTATCCCTTTCCTTTCTTTCTTCTCCCTAATTGCTCTGGCTAAAATTTTAACTACTGTAATGAAGAGGAATGGTGAGAGCAGACATCCTTATTTCATTCCTGATTTAAAGGAAATGCGTTCAGTCTTTCCTCATTGGTGTAATGTTGGCTGTGGGGTTGTTACATGTAGCCTTTATTATGTTGAGGTAGGTTCTTTCTATCCTTGGTTTCTGTAAGGTTTTTCTCTTGAAGGATGTTGAATTTTGTCAAAGGTTCTTTCTGCATCTGTTAAGATGATTACATGATTTTTGTCCTAACCCTAACCCCAAATAGATAAGACCAGAAAAGAACCTTTCTACTGTGCGTTATAGTTAAAATGCCAAAAACGTATATCAAAGAAAAAAATTTAAAACTGTAAGAGAGAAAGTCGAAACCCGAGAGCCCAGAGGGGCATGCATGGCATATCTCAAGCTCTGAAAAAAATGACTGCCCATCTAGACTGCTCTACACAGCAACAATATCCTTCAGAACCAAGGAAGAATCACAGACTGTCACCACCAAGCAGCACTGCAGAAGGTGCCAGAAAGGATTCTAAAAATAGACGAGGAGGATAAAAATAACCGGAAGGGCATGGGGAAAAATAAATCTTGTAAGAGTAGAGAAGCAAGTGAAATGAAGAGCAAATTAAATTTCAGAAAGGGAACAAAATGACAAGAAGTAATACACAGCGCTCTAGAAAAACACTGACGTATATGATCTTTAACCTTCTAGTTACAGGTCGCACACTGGTCACTGATATTGGCCAGCTCAAGTTGTTGATATTGTGTGCATGTACTAACATATCAACAAGTCACACCATTAGGTACAACTATAATGTGCCCATAAAATATGGAAAAATACACTAAAAAAGACATACAGTGGGAGACTGGATTTAAAAACCTATCTCGAGGGCTGGGGTGGGCTCAGTGGTAAAGCGCTTGCCTAGCACACGTGAGGCACTGGGTTCAATCCTCAGCACCACAGACAAAAATAAATAAAATAAAGTTATTATGTCCATCTACAACTAAAAATATTTAAAAACAAACAAACAAAAAAACCTGTCTCTGCTCTGTGTTGTCTACAAGAAGCCCACCTGTGGGTAAGACGTCCGCAGACTGGAAGCGAAAGAAGGGAAAACAATATCCCCTGTGAATGGAATCTCAAAGCCAGTGGGAGGAGAGAGAGGATACTACTGGCGACAAAGGAGCCGTCCAAGAAGATGCAGCTGCGTCTTGTGTGTTCAGTGACCCAGTTTCATGGAGTGATGCTACTCAACATAAGGGGCAGGTAGAACCCAATACAGCACCAATGGCTGACACCAGTGTGCCATCCTCACTAATGGAGGGGCCTTTCTGATGGAAATCAACGCCCTGCAGGATCAGTACTCGTCATCACATGGACTTGGAGACACCTACAGACTACTTCATCCAACAAAAAGTGGACACTTCCTTTTAGTTGCCGAGAGAACTTCCTCCAAAATAGATCATCTATCAGACCACAAAGCAAATCTTAGCAAATGCAAGGAAAAAGATAAAATAAAAACAACCCCTGAAATAATTGCTTCTATCTTATTGGACCATAAAGAAATGAATTAGAAATTAGCAACAAGAAAAATGATACAATCTGTAAAACACATGGAGCTTGAGTAACATACATCTGAATGATGGCCACGTGGAGAATGTCTGTCTGGTTCTCAAGGCTCAGAAAGTTTCCTGAATCTTAGGTTAGGTCTCTTCGAGTTGCTCTAGAGTTCTTGTACATTTGGGGAATGAGGGGGATGCTCAATCACTGAGCCACATCCCCAGGCCTTTTTATTTTTTATTTAGAGATGGTCTCACTAAGTTACTTAGAGCCTTGCTAAGTTGCTGATGCTGGCCTTGAACTTGTGATCCTTCTGCCTCAGCCTCCTGAGTTGCTGGGATCACAGGCGTGTGCCACCGTGCCTGTGGCTACAGTTCTTGTACATTCTACAGAGTTTCTAATTTTTCTTTTTTGCTGTCTCTGTTATCAAGTTGTTTTCTACACCTGAAATTCCATCTTTTGCTTGATCTAGTTTATTGGTGAGACTTTTAACTGTTTTTTTTTTCTTTCATTTTCTTTTGTAGTTCTCCATGGACAGAATGCCTTTATTTTATTTGTTTATATGGTGCTGGGAATCAATGCTCTGCCATGAGCTACAGACCCAGTCCTTAACTGGGTTTTTATTTGATTATTTGAGCATTCATTTCCAGGGTTCGAGTTTGGCTCCTTTTCATAGTCTCTCTATTGAAATGCTCTTTCGTACCTATTTTGTTTCCCTTTGTGCATTCCTTAGGTATTTTCATTCGTTGCTTCAGCAGTTGACTTTGCAGCATTTCTTGTTTGGCACCCAGGGTTGTTCCTGGAGGCATCCAGTGCCTTGTTTTCTCAGGCCTCCTGTGTTTCTGTGTGGAGCTGTGCACATCTGCTGGGGTGGGTTTCTCCTCCACCTTAAAGTGAGGGCCTTTGTAGTGAGCTGTGCCCTGTGCCGTGTCCTGCCTGGGTTGTTTCTGTGTCCATGCACCCCTACTCAGTTCACAGTACTGGGACACACCCTGCCTGCCAGGAGGGGGTGGCCAGCTGCAGGAGGTGGCCACCTGGGAATGATAGCATGCTGGGGGGCCACAAACACTAATCAGAGATGTGCACTGCAGCTCCCCTAGTCCAAAGGGTGACGGGGCAGTAATGCCCTACAATAGGCTGGGAAAATCAGTAGAGAAAGTAAAATTAATATTGAACTAGGGACAGAAAGAATCAGCAGCAGAAAAAGGGAAGCAGAAGGGGAGGGAGAGAAAAGCAGCAGCAAGGAGAGAAGGTTAAGGAGAGAAGGCAGAAGAATAGAGCCGGGATTCCATCGACACCCCACAGCATCCAGAGGAGCACACGGAGCTGGTCAAGGTGTCAAATAGGCAGGGAAGCTGCAGCCGCAGTGCAGACGGTATTGCCAGTTTGTCAGCTTTCTGACCCTGTGACGGAAGACCTGACCACTTAGAGGAGGGAAGGTTTATTTTGGCTCAAAGTTTCAGAGGTTTGGTCCATGGGCAGCTGGCCCCAAAACAGACACAGCACGGCAGAAGGGTGTGGCAGAGGAGAGCTGTTGGCTCATGGCAGCCAGGAAGGGTGCCAGGCCGGAGACAGGGCTGGAGCCAGGTGCTGTCCCCAAGACCATGCTCCTGCGGCCATACCACCTGCGTGTGGTTTTCCCCACCTCCCAGTAAATCCAAGTCTTTAATGCGTCAAGTGGACGAGCCGCTGGTGTGGTCCCAGCCCTCATGGCTAGTGTTTCCCTGGGAACACTGGGGCATCGCCCAGTACATGAGCTCTTGAGGGATGTTCCAGATCCAAACCGTAACATCAGTGAAAGCCTAAAAAAATCTAATATTGAAGCATCTACAGCTACTCCTTGCTGAGGTATTCAAAATGGAGAGATTTCTTTTTATTGGTACAGGGATTAAACCTAGGGGTGCTTAAACACTGAGCCACATCCCCAGCCCTTTTTTATATTTTAGTTAGAGAAAGGGTCTCGCTAAACTGCTTAGAGCCTTGCTATGTTGCTGAGGCTGGCTTTGAACTTGAGAACCTCCTGCCTCATCCTCCCCAGCTGCTGGGATTACAGATGTACAGTGCCATGCCCAGCAAGACAGAGAGGTTTCTTACTGGGCCTTCCAGCTTTGGATTCCATCAGATACCTGGAGGTCTAGTATGTGTCCACCCTTGGCTGTGTGATCCGAGTGTCTCTGGGTCCGACCTGTCTCTGGGTGTGACCACACCAGCCATTTCTGCTGGGCTGAGGAGCTCTAGGTTCAGTTTTCACCACACTCAGCCTTAGGCTTTAAAAACTGCCCAGAATTCAGGTACCTGCTCCATCCATTGACCTTGGCCTGCCCACCTCTGGTGTAAGCCTGGGTACCTCCGCCCTTTCCAGGTGCCTAAAAGCCCTCAGGAGGGTCTGAGGGACAGGTCTGATTGTCTGTCCTGGTTTGAGGTGCTTCTAGGCTATCAGCTGCTCCCCCCTTTTCTGAGTGGCCAGGGGCTCTGAGCGTTCCATGAGGAATCCTGGTGCTGCAGCCCTGGGCCTTGGTTTCCTGTCCAGTGTGGTGTCCCCTGGGCTTCTCCGCCTGGCTGGAGCCCATGCTCAGTGGGCCCTTCCCTTCCAGGCCATCGACAGCATCCACCAGGTGGGCGTGTACTGTCTGGCGCTGGTCCCTGCTAACACCCTGCCCAAGGCTCCCCTCGGGGGGATCCACATCTCCGAAACCAGACAGCGCTTCTTGGGAGGAACCCTGCACCCCTGCAACGTGCTGATGTGCCCTCACACCTGCGTGACCAACCTTCCCAGACCCCGTCAGAAGCAGCCAGGTCAGCCTGCCCAGCAGCCCCATTGTGACTGGGGCCAGCCCTGAAGACCCTGCAGTGGTAGCTGCCACTCCCTGGGGCTGGGCCCAAGGGCCAGAGCAGCATTTGCCAGTTGCTTAGCACCCTGCCTGCTGGCACTGGCCAAAGTTGAGGAACTGTAGCCATTTCACCTGTGAGGATAATGGCAGATCCAAGGCCCCCACCTGAGCTTCGGATGGCTAGGAGGTGGCTCCCTAGGGACAGAGGTGAGGCCCAGAAACAGGCCTGGGCCTTGGGATCTGAGGAGCCTCTTGGCCACCATCATGCCCTGCTACCTGCCCCCAGCTACCTGCCCCCAGGCTGCCTTCCACAGCCCTGTACCTGTTACAGTGGCCGGCTTCATAGGACCTTAGGGGTCTCTCAATGGCCAGTTGCCCATGCCTGACCTTACGGCTGGCTTAGCTGTTCATGTGATTTGTCATTGCCTTGGTCATGTAGACTTTGAGTGCAAGCCAACTTCCTGGATCACATAGAATGTCACTACATGAATACATGTCACCAGGAAGACTTAGTGTTCAGATTGACACAGAAATGCAGTAAAATGATAAAACATGTTAAGAATTTGGCTGAGGTCAGAGATGTCATATTCTCAGTTTCTCATTGTGCTTTAGTTTATATTTTTGAGTGATTCTGTCAATCAGCATAAACCCTTAGCTGGTTTTACAAACACTTGTGTTTTAGAGAAGACTCAAGTCGAATTCAGGTGTGTTTCAGAATAACAAGTGTGAGGGAATTTAGGCTCAGGGTGAGCCTGATTCCCAGCCCCAGCTTCTCCCTGGGAACCACTTCTAGAGGTTGGACCTGCATCCATGATTGTGGGGAACCTGGTGGCTGGCAAGAGAATCGCACAGGCCTCAGGGAGGGAGCTGGCCCACCTGGAGGACAGCGACCAGGCGCGCAAGGTAACGGTGGCTTTGGAGGGGGCCCGAGGCCAGGAGGTCTTGCAGGCGCTGAGCCGGGCCCTCTGTGCAGTTCCTGTTCCTGGCTGACGTGCTTCAGTGGCGAGCGCATACCACTCCTGACCACCCGCTGTTTGTGCTGCTGAACGCCAAGGTGAGGCAGGCCACCACATCTGTAACATAGTGGGCCTAAGGCTTTGCTCCCTGCTCCTTTGCTTATGAAACCTCATTTCCATGCAGTTCATACAGTAGTTTCTTGTATTAAACAAGGAACATTCTCATTAACTTTTGTGTGTGTGTGTGTGTGTGTGTGTGTGGGTGTGTGGTGCTGGGGACTGGACCCAGGGCCTTGTGCACGTGAGGCAAGCAACTCACAGATGTGTTGGTCCCACGTAATCGTGGGCAGGACACTTTGAGTGACTCTCCCTGCTAGATACGCGTCCTGCAGGAGAGAAGCTATCTCTCCTGGCCGTTTTACCTCTGAGTTCTAAAGTCTGCAGACAGCGTGGTTAAGTGTTGGCAGGGTACAGCCATGTGTGGTGAGAACCTAGAGACCAGAGAGGGGGAGTGGAAGTGCTGGGCAGGCTGCAGGCAGGCCCGGGGCTGGCGGCAAGTGGGCTGAGGTTGGGAGGCCAAGGAGTGGGGACTGGCCTGGGGTTCTGGCCTTCATCCCAAGGGTGCACTGGGGTGCCCCGATAGGGTGGAGCAGCTGGGTGCACTCGTGGTCACAGTGGCTGCTCTGGACTGTAGAAGGGTGACTTTGGGGGCTGGGCACATAACAGCAGTGTGGAGCAGGGAGCAGGTGCCTGGGCGAGTGTGATGTGTGACTGGGGGCATGTGTGTGAAGAGTGGACCCTGGGCTGCTGACCGAGGTCTTGGGTGGTGCTCTCAAGGGATGAGGAAGCCATGGGGCGGGGGCGAGTACCGGTGCTGATTAAGCATCCATGTTCTTTTTGGCCTGTTTCTCCGTAAAGCATCAGGTCCCCAGGGACATGCTGCCCTGGAACCCAGGAACCTCTGGTGGTGCAGGTAGAGGCTGTGGCCCTAGGTGGACCTAGGCTTTGGGGGCTTCACTCTCACGGGGCCACTCGAGGTGCCTGGCCCCACATTGTAGATAACGGGCACATCTGGTGTCCTGGGTAGTGCCTGTGTGTTTGCACACCAGCATAGTGACACCCCTGATTGCCTTCCTAGGGCACGGTCACCAGTACTGCCACCTGTGTCCAGTTGCACAAGAGGGCTGAGAGGGTGGCTGCTGCTCTGCTGGAGAAGGGCAGGCTGGACGCTGGGGACCACGTGGCTTTGGTCTACCCCCCAGGTAGGTGCACACTTCCGACCATCCCTCCCAGCCTGCCTAAAGCCCCTCTGCCCCACACATGGCCATCCCAGGCTCAGACCCCTCCAAGAGCCTCTTGTGGTTGGATGGGACCTCTGACCTGGTGGCTCCAGCTGGCAGGGTGGCAGGTGCTCAGCTCACTTGTGCCTCTCAGTCCAGAACGAGACTGTACCCACTCTCAGAGCCCAGATTCTGATTATTTAGAACAAAAACAGAGATCTGGAGAGGCCTATGATAGAGTCCCCTGAGATAACCTTCCTCTAGCGCAGGCTAGGGCTGCAGGGTCCCACCCATCTGCTGAGGTCTCTTTCCTCCCCAAGACCCTGGTTGTTCAGGATGGGAATGCCCTATGGTGGCTCATTGGATTTATCTACTGAACAATGTGGACACTGCCTGTGTCCCTGCCCACCTCACCCCTACCCAACCCGTGGCACCGAGCCCCTGCTTCCTGGTGTCCTGTGTGGTCACTGCCATGTGTCCCTGCCCACCTTAGTACTGCCCAGCCCGTGGCACYGAGCCCCTGCTTCCTGGTGTCCTGTGTGGTCACTGCCATGTGTCCCTGCCCACCTTAGTACTGCCCAGCCCGTGGCACTGAGCCCCTGCTTCCTGGTGTCCTGTGTGGTCACTGCCCTCGTCCCAGCCTTCGTCCCTGCCCACTCGCCCCTGCGCAGCCCACAGCATGCTGTGTTGCTCTCTTCATCTGGATGTGGAACATGGCCTGTGGGTGGTAGTAGTTGGGGTGAGGATGATGACTGAGGCCTGCAGTTGGCCCTGCTGTGGGTGTCCCTGCTGTTCTTCCTGTTGCCTGTTTGGGCCTTTGTTTGAGCCGACATTGGAGACAAGGGCCGTGTAAGCTAGGACACCACTCTGGCTACTTTGCTGCATCTCAGCCCCATGTTTTAATGAAAAAAAAAAAAGAAAGCTCCTGGTTTTTAATTTGCCTTGAAAGCCTGCCTGGGAGAGAGAGTGGTCTCGGGAAGAGCCGGTGTGCTGTGTGTCCCCTCTGTCTGGAGGTGGTGAGCTGGTGTGCTGTGTGTCCCCTCTGTCTGGAGGTGGTGAGCTGGTGTGCTGTCTGTCCCCTCTGTCTGGAGGTGGTGAGCTGGTGTGCC